GAAAATTCCATGAAGAAACCAATGGAACTAATTTTAGAACCCCAAAGTTTTTTATAAACTGAGTTTTAAGCCTTTAAAGTCTCTAGATTTTGGCAGACTTCTCCTATTCACTTAGTCCACTGTGCGGCGTTGCAAGCTTCCTGTCATACTTTATTTTCTGCATGATAAACTAAGAACGTCATTTTTTTTCTTTTAAATTTAAGTGATTTTTCTTCTCTTCATGAAGAATATTCTGTGAAAAATTCGAGCCATGATGGTCTGGCCTTGGTCTCCTTTTAAAATAAAATATTAGCGGAGATTTTTAAACACTGCGATCAAGACACGCAGTTTTGCAGTTGCACCGTCCATATGCCGATTTAAATGCTGCTACATTGGGGAGAAAGGTTCTATTTATTTACCCTGGTAAAAATAAATCGTTTAATAATTTGAGTTCTTCCTGGGAGGAGACGCAGGGGACGCCCAGCAAAATCGCGGATAGGTGGCATTCAAGATGAAATTACAAAGTGCAATATACCAGATGACCTCTGGGTCGATAGAGAAGGATGGCGATTAGGTGTCGCAGAGCGCTCGGGCGCGCTATAAAAGCGACTTGTATATATACAAAAATAAATCGTCCTCCGGGAGAAAAATCATGCCTCGGGGACGCAAATCGAATGGACGATTTTCGCCCCCGATAAATGGTTTATTTTTGATAGAAATACTTCGAAAGCGAACTCTCGGTGTCCCGTGCGGCGGACCTATCGGACCATCTAGTTTGTCAAACGTTATCAGGGACTCCTGGTTTTGAAATGCGAGCGCAAAATTTTGGGGTTATTCAATCAAAAAGAAAGCACAAACTATTTAAACCTAAATTGACACCAAAAGTAAAAAATTGGCCTATCCTTGTCTGACTTACTGACTCTTAAGGGAGATGACAGAGATGTCCACTATTGATACTAGGTCATTAAATTGATGACACAGAGACTTGGAAATCATGTTTTCCTAAGTAATCAATCCAAAAAAATTCAAATTCCAGGGTCGACCTCTCTTACCGAGACTTCACTGATCGTAGGTGGATCCAGCAATTTGGCATTAATGTATATTTCCTCCATTCAAACCTGTGTTAAATAACTGATTCTTGTCAAAGCACCTGGAATCGAATCGATATATTTCCATGGGTTTAAATGGAGAGGAAAGAATGTTACCAATTTGCTGGATCCGCAATGTCACTGACAGGGTTCACGGCGGTCACTAGAGTACCTTAGGCCACTTCGGTTTCTGATTGGCTCAGCCATCTTAGGCTGAATGGAGCCCTGTAGGACCAAAAAATGGCGGACCCCAAGTAGCAGTGATCGCGATTTTATCGGTTGGTTATCGCGATTATATCGGTGGCAATATATCGAGATACTATCGCACTAAAAATCCCGAAATATGGCTATTAAATCGCAATAAATCGCAATCTTTGGTTTGATAAAATCGTGATTGATTTCTGTCGATAAAATCGAGATTGAATCGCCATTTATCGCGATTTTTATTTCGAAAATATCGCGATAAATTGTCGGGCGATAAAAGCGCGATTTTATGGCGATAAGATCGAGGATAAGCGCTCAGATGTTGATGATCCTGACGCTTTTTTCGCCGATAAAATCGCATTATACAGCGATTTTTCCGTTGGGAAATGCTACTTGGGACGTTGTAAGTAAATGTAAATAAAAATGACTCAAAATGCAGTTTCATTTGTATAACACAACGAAAAATGTACTCAAATGCACTATTGCGACGTATTCATTTAGAGATGTTGCGTTGTCAGTTGACCGATAATAATCTTTGGGAGGATTGGCACATGTGGCGTTTGGGGGTCGCAGAAGGAAGCGTTGTAAAAGCGAATTTAATGTGTGTATGTTTATCTCGCCATTTATTACACATATTAAGGGGTCCTTCATAAGTGAAATTTTACGAGGAAACCAATGGAGCCCAGTTTTTAAACTTCTACGTTTCATATTAACGAAGATATGAGCTTTTAAAGTTTTCAAATGATGACCGCCTTCTCCCATTAACTCGGCCGTTGTGCGTCGGGTCATTGCCCTGGCAAAAATTGGCGATAGCAGCTGCGTTTCAAAATACCATAGGAATTCTTATAGCCAGCTAAAGAAGGCAATAGAAAATCGTATAGCTGGCTGTAGAAAGCAGAGCAAATCATACAGCCGGGCTATACGAAGCGATATAAAAAGTATACAGCCGGGCTTTACACTTTATCGCCATCGGCTAGGCTATAAGAAATCGTGTAGAAATTCGTGCGCTTTGGAAATCATTAAGTTTGATACGGAACCACCATAATATTTACAAAATACACATTATATTTTCCTTTAATACATATTTTTTTTTTCATCAATTAAAATGAGAATAATCCATACAGGATGTGCAAACATTTTAAAATAATGGGTTGAAAAACGCTGACTCCGCGAGATTATATATTAGAGCCTAACACAGAGCGGAGCGGCGTGCTGCCAGAGTTAAGCGCGCACTAACGCCTACACACCTAACAGGGATACTTCACGCATTGCGCAATGCTTGAAGTATCGCTGTTAGGTTTGTAGGCGCTAATGCGCTTTCCGCGTTGGCTGCCACGGCGCTTGAAGCAACTATTTCACACCAGAGGTATTGCACGGTATCATACGAAATTGAAGGCGCTCCAATATATTAGGAATGGCAGGCATCCTTCAAAAGTACGCAAAAATAGAGCGGTAGTCCAAAAACTCAATAAGTCCTAGCACCCGTAATTAGTAACATTTAGCATACACTTTATCGCCTGGCTGTTGCTTAATCGCCATCGGCTATAAAAGGCTATAAAAAAGTGTGCAGCCGGCTATAGAAGCTATTGAAAATCTTACAGCCGGCTTTGGGTCTGTGGTATTTTGGAACACAGATTCTACTGCCAATTTTTACCAGGGTGGCCTAGTATGTTTGACTGACTAGGGTCCGTCCACTAATTATGCAAGGCACTTTTTCCGATTTTTAGACCCCTCTCCCCCTCCCCCCGTAAGGCACCTGTAAGGCTATCTTGGACCCCCCTCCCCTAAATAATTACGCATAGCTGGCCAGGCCCCCCTTCTATCGTGTAAATGCATAATTTAATGAAAAAATGATGTTGAAACAATTCGGTATTGGTTTAAACATACTAATTGCTGGTAGGAGATCAGAAGGAAAAAATAACAGTTGTATTGAAAAATAACGAGTTTTTAAATTAAAAAAGTTCAGGAAAAATTAAATTTTAACAAAAAAAAAGTTAAACGTCTAAAAAAACGAAATTTAGGCTAAGCAGTCTTTAAAATAACAAAATTTGGAAGAAATAAAATCTAAAAAAATAAAATTTTGACAAATTTTGACAACCTCCTTCTCAATTAATACTAAGCGTTTGGCTTACGCTCAAGGGGTGTTTCTGAAAGTATATTCCACGGAAAACCCAATGGAGCCACTCCTAAACTTTTTAGTTTCGTATTTTCGAAAATATAAGCTCTCAAAGTTTCCATATTTTGTTCAACTTCTTCTATTGACCCGGTCCAGTGTGTGGCGTAGCCACTAAGTGAGTCTTTTCCGGTCAAATATTCTGCCGGGCTAAGGAAGAACGCCGTATGAGTAATCAGAAGTTAGCAAATTACCTTTGATAAAGCACGCATTTTCTGGTAAACTTTTGAATATTTTCCTTCCAATTTTTTACATAATTTTGTTCGCAATTTCGCCAATAGTTCCTGAAAATTTCAAGGGAAAATATTAATAAATTTCCTCAAAAATAAACGTTTTATCGGAGGAAATTTGGCAACATTCGAATGTTCATACGATGTTCTTCCTCAGCACGGCACACAGTGGATCGAGTTGATTAGAGAGGTCGGACTTGAAATTTTCGACTAAAACTGCAAATTTTAATGTTTATTTCGTCCCATTTTAAATTTTAATGAGTGTTTCTGGAGGTAAATTTCGCAAGAAAACCAATAGAACCACTTTAAGGACCTTAAAGTTTTGTATGAACGGTGTTATAAGCTTTTAAATTTTCCAAATTTTGTCTGACCTTTCTCTTTGGCTCGATCCACCGTGCGGCACACTGAAAAAAAAATTCCCGGCGTTTTTACCAAGGTCCGTTGGTACCTTTACCATCTCACTTTTTTTACCAATTATTGTTAATTTTACCAAGACAGACTGGTAAGCTTACCTAAAAACCGGTATTTTTACTGTTTTTTTCAGGTAAGAATACCACTTTCATTGGTAATCAATTCCCAGTAACTTTGCCATTTTATCTCGGTAATTCTACCACAGTCGATAAAAAATATTGGAGTTTTTACCAAGGTCCAGTAAAATTACCGAGAAAGCCCAATAATTTTGCCGAGATTTCTCGGTAAAATTACCAATTCCATAAATGGTAATTTCACCAAGAAAAAACTGGGATCAAATAGAACCCTGAATTCTTGGTAATTTTACCCTTTTCTTAGTAAATACACAGAGATTTTTTTTCAGTGCAGAAATAAAGCAGAAGCGGAGATTTTAAAACACCAGATTCGAGATACAAGGTTTTTAAGTTTCGCCGTTGATATGCACTCTCAAGGAATCGAGAGGGGAGAAATTTCAATATGGATTGTTGGAATCGTAGTTCCTGAGCGATTCTTTTTAATGACGTCAGTAATAATGCATGACTTGTGCACCCTGATAAAACCCAAACCCCCAAATAGAACCCTGAATTCTTGGTAATTTTACCCTTTTCTTAGTAAATACACTGAGATTTTTTTTGCAGTGCAGTATTAAGATGGGACACTCACCAAAGTGTGTAGGAACCGGCGCCACACATTAAACACATGACACGAGGAGTACTCTTTCCTGAATGGCACCTGCAGAGATGCACGGCGCGGCGCTTCATTCATGAATCGCATCTGTCCGGCCGGCTGGCCCCGTCGGAGAGGGGGCGTTCGCGCCTTCCCCGCGGTCATTGCCGAAACTTTTCGCTAGTCCCAGATTGTGCATTACCCACCTGTTTGCCTATAATTTTTTCTCATTTTCAATCCATTTTCCCTCCCGCCGCTTCGACGCTTCATACTCGTTATAAAAGCTGAGGGGAGTGCACCGAGGTGGTTACTCCATGTTTGCGCCTTTCCCAGCCACGACCACCTACCGCATGAACAGTTATCTTTTTCTGTTTCTCCTCGTTTTACTTGTTAAGCTCCTCTTCGGAAAGTTCAGAGCCCGTGTTCACGCCAACCATTTTTCGTTGTTCACCGCCGGGACTTCGGATTTCTGAAAATATTTTAATTAAAATCATCTAGAGGTGAGTATTCATCGTCCTTTGGATTTTATTTTTTATTCATTTATTTATTAGTTTCATGAAATTTATCGGGATTCATATCTTCAAGTAGCACGAACTGTAATAAATTACAATTAGATAGGAAAATTATTGCTGCTACATCGTAGTGTTGCGTATGTTGCCTATCTGCTGATTGAAGGGACACCTCGAGTTGGAATTTATAACGATAAAATTGAAATAGGTTGTGATTGTCTTTGCGTTGCAAATTGCCTATCCTTCTGTTACATGCGACTTATCTTATTGATCGATTGAAATTGGCGTTCATTGACCAGATGATGTGAAAATATTGCAATTTAGCGATTTAAAAGTTGCACTTTAATTTTAATAAATCACAATTTTATTTCAATATTTTTATCGCACGGCGCTACTTAGGATAGAATTTTGAGGCGGCAGAATAAACAATTTGATGGAGTTCAGCGTAAAGGAACCAAGCGACATCAACCCGAAAACTAGAGAAAAAGGTTAAACGTTTTTCAATTTCCGTTTGAGCTTCATTTCCAAACGTGGATGGGTGAGAGCAATAGAGACTTAATCGAAATGCGATGTTGCGCATTTCATCGGGCATTTCATGTATTTATTCAGGAATGGTCGCTACTTTTTTCCAAACAAAAATTCTTGTGGGTTTCTGAGGGCAATTGAGAACTTTGTTAAAAGGGCGTATGAGGCTTCCAATGCTGTTGAGATTGTGCAATATGAGCGGTTTGGAGGACAGTGCGCATTGGTGCAGCTTTTGAAAAAATTGATATATTAATAATTTCAAGTAAAACTAGTCTTAACGCATATTCAGTGAAAAATTCGCTCCCAAATTCCAATTTTTAAGCATCAAAAAGTCCATTTGAACTTTCTCCTTGCCATAAGGATCCATGTAATTTTGAAACTTCAAACACACACTTCTCGAGAAAGCTTAAACTGCTCTTATCCCACTTGTCCTCCAAGCCCCTCTAATGACCCATATCCAAAAGCTCTGCCAGGAATTTTTCCCTGAATCCGCTCCGAATATTTCCTTACTAGTGTGTGGAAGTAAGTCAGCTAGAAAGTCAAGCTATTTACAGCAAATAACGAACGAAATTCTCTGAAAAATTGGAAGAAAAATGTTTATAATTATTCCCGAAAATTCGTGATTTAACCAAAGGAAATTCGGCAACGCCTAAAGGCTCACACAACATTTTTCTTTAAGGCCTGGATACATGCTCAAATTTCCGTCAATTTCCGATCAAAATGATGAAAAAATGGCGGTTTAACTTGTGCAGGCCGCAAAAATTTGATGGTAGATGGTGCGCATCAGTCACCATTTGATCGGAAATTTGAGCGTGTATCCAGACCTTTAGCAAAGCATTGAAGGTCACTGCAATTGGCCCGAATCAGGATCCAAATAGGGTCTCGAAACATTAAAGGAAGGACCTCTACCTAGCAGGATAAAAACTCATTCAAAATTTGTATGGGCTCCTACTGTGGTTTTTTCCTGGGACTACTTTTATGTAGCATATCACTCCCATTCTATCTTCCACTGCTTGGATAGACAGTGCGAAATGTGTAAAATATGCCTCTGAGGTGTTTCTCGGATTCATTGAAAGAACTCGCGAACTTGTGGAGATGATCGGAATGTTCCACTTGAACCGTGAGCTATGTACTTAACTTCGGTTACGTGTAGGTGAGCAAAGTTGACAGTGCACATTACCGCCCATCTCCAAGTTGGAAGGCCAGTAGGTAACACACTGCACTTGACTGTTTTCGTGTGTCACCCAACACCTCCCGTCCATCGGTCTCATCACACCTCCGTGAGAAAAATAAATTCGACGGTGTTTTGTAATGGAGTCAAAACTCTACTCTCGCTTGAGCCCTGAGCTCGGCAAGAGTTTTAGAGAGGCAGGGATCGTGGAGGGACTTAAATATGGCTTCGTTTCAAAACAACTCCGTTTAGTCGGATATGCGATCTTTCTGTCCAGCCTGTTTCGTAACACTTGGGTCTTGAAACAGTGACGTACTGTCATCTAGACCGTGGAGTAAAGTATTCAAACCTAATTGCCCGGTTATAATATTATGAGTTTGTTTTTGAGCTTAGCAGTGAAATATTACGGGGTCCCTGTATTGACAGGATCGCAAATATCTGCGCAAATTGAGAGATCATTGCGTATGGAACAATTTTTCCAATAAATCTCATATTTTGGATGTAATCTCTGGTGAAAGACTGAACTTTCTAATAAAATTCTGGGGACGGGGTCGTGGATGCGTAAAAGGCGGGGGGAGGCATTAAGCTTAAATCTGATTGAATCAAGAGTATTTTTTCTTGTCGATGTTTTTTAGAGTCTGAACTCTCGATCCAATGTGTTTTTTTTTCCAGTGTAGAGGAAGACGTAGTGATAACGTTGAAAAAAACATATTTCACTCTTTTCGATCAGCGATGATCACAATGCTTGTGAAGTTGTGAACCTGAGAGTAAAATCACTCAATGCGCTGTAGAGACCGCATTTCTTATTTGCAGTCTTGCGGTGTCTCAGGATCTCCGTTACCGTTTCATCCACTATAATTTGAGCTAATACACAGAATTCGTTAAGACTTGTACTGAATTTTCTTTATAATTTTACAACGCTGAAAACTACAAATTTTAAAAAATTCGCACATTGGTCTCCTCTCTAAAATAAAAATTAACATTGGACATTTTGAAACACTGCAACCAAGAAATGCCCCCTCTACACCCTGGTAAAAATTGGCGATAGGAGCTGCGTTTCAAAATACCATAGGAATTTTTATAGCCGGCTAGAGAAGGCAATACAAAATCATAAAGTTGGCTGTAGAAAGCGGAGCTAATCATATAGCCGGGCTATACCAAGCTAAAAAAAAAAGTATACAGCCGGGCTATAGCTCCTATCGCCGGGCTTTACACTTTATCGCCATCGGCTATAAAAGGCTATAAGAAATTGTGTAGAAATTCGTGTGCTTTGGAAATCATTAAGTTTGATACGGAACCACCATAATATTCACAAAACACACATAATAGTTTCCTTAAATACATATTTTTTTTCATCAGTCAAAATGAGAATAATCCATACAGGATGTGCAAACATTTCAAAATCATGAGTTGAAAAACGCTGACTCCGCGAGATTATATATTGGAGCCTAACACAGAGCGGAACGGCGTGCTGCCAGAGTTAAGCGCGCACTAGCGCCTACAAACCTAACAGGGATACTTCACGCATTGCGCAATGCGTGAAGTTTCCCTGTTAGGTTTGTAGGCACTAATGCGCTTTTCGCGCTGGCTACCCGCAAGCAAAGCAACTATTTTACACCAGAGGTATTGCACAGTATCATACGAAATAGAAGGCGCTTTAACATATTAGGAATGGCAGGCATCCTTCAAAAGTACGCAGCTTTCCGCGCAAAATAAATCAAGATACTACGGCACAAAAAGAGAGCGGTAGTTCAAAAACTAACCAAGTCCTAGTATCCGTTATTAGTAACATTTAGCATACACTTTATCGCCTGGCTGTTGCAGAAATTGTGCATCCGGTTGTAGAAGCTATTGAAAATCTTACAGCCGGCTTTAGGTCTGTGGTATTTTGGAACACAGATTCTACTGCCAATTTTTACCAGGGCACCTATTGCCTCGATCGAGATGTTGCATGTGTGAGGGATTTGCGATTTGACTGTCGATTCTTATGTAAAAGTTCGCGAGAAACACGATGGCGCCACTGGTTTTCCCTGTAATCAACTTCCAAGCTCAAAAAAATCTCTCAAAGTTGAGGCCAAAATGGAGGGGATATCCCACGCTATCCTGAGAGTCCACCTCTACATCAAGACAAACTCTCCATCCAAAGATAGGGAACAAATACATTGACAGGGCTGCCACCTTATTTGGGGACTCTTAAACTGAAATCACGACAACCCTGTCAATGTATTTGCTCCATATCTTTGCATGGAAAGTTTGTTTTGATGTAGTGGTGGACTCTCAGGATAGCGTGGGATATCCCCTCCATTTTGGCCTCAACTTGAGAGCTTTTTTTGAGCTTGGGAGTTGAGTTCTGAAAAAAACCAATGGCACTATCATGTTTCTCGCGAACTTATACATAAGGATCAATAGTCAAATCGCAAATTCCTCACACATGCAGCATCTCCATTGAGGATATTCCGGATTTCATGCAACATCTCCATTATTTCATTCGGTGCAGGTATAACACGGGTGCAACTGTCTTCACACTTAAGTACGAGGTCTGTTAGATTAGAACCCGGATTTTGGTCATAACTAGCCCACAATGCGTTCGAATTAGGTTTTCTTGAGCTTTTCTGATAGCTGAAAATATACTTAAGAACGCTACGTTCACAGATTTTGTTTATATTGATCAGTGTTTATTCTGTGTCATCTTGAATACGACTAAGTCAGGTGCGTTTTGCGATTTTCATCATGCGATCACTGATAGAGCAAAGATTCAACATTAAATTTTGTTTTAAACTCGGTATACCTTGTACCGAAACTTTTGGTATATGCTAAGTAAAGTTTACCATGATCATTGTATGAGATGTTCCCACTGTCTTGAATGGGTTAAACGATTCAAAACTGGTCAGGAGTTCGTCAAAGATGAGGAGCATGGGAATCGACCCTCAACGGCAACTGACATTTGTCACGTGGAAGAAATGTGGGCAAAAGTGCTCGAAAATGGTCGTTTCGAGCTTGTTGAACAGAGTAATATTTCTGAAGGCTCTATACATACAATTTTGATAGAATATGTAGACACGCATCGAGTTTCAGGTACACTTGCCCCTTGATTGTTGTCCGTTGAACGAAAATCCAACCAAATGTCAATTTCCCTTTAGCTGCTTGAACGTTTTAACAATGATCCTACATTTTTGGATAGGATAATTTTCGGTGACAATACTTGGTGTATGGCTACGATGTGAAGACGAAACTCCAATCGTCGTCGTGGGTTGATAAATGTAGTGCAAGACCGAAAAAAGAGAGACAAGTTCGATCAAACATAAAAATCGCTAAACACCCTTGAGGTTGCCTTACTTCAAGCGACATACCAACGAAGCTAATAAGGATTTTTCAAATTTGTGAACGTAGCGTCCTTGAATATATTTTCAGCTATCAGAAAAGCTCAAGAAAACGTAATTTGGACGCATTGTGGGCTAGTTATGACCAAAATCCGGTTTCTAATCTAACAGACCTCGTAGGTGTTGTTGCCTAACATTTGTAATGAAGGGGCATTACTCTCCTCCACCTAAACAGCGTATCGCACTCTTTGCAGGCATACCCAAGTCAAAGGATGCCTCCATTCTCGGCAAACCTGGACAGCAATGCTGTAGCTAAACCAGCTCTTCACAATCACGATGAAGACCCTGATAATGGGATGGAGATGAAATCTGCCGATCGGCTGAGATTCACCAATGAAGAAGATCAACCTTTGAGCTTTGCCTCACACATGGTTTCTGATGTCACAAAGAAAGTCAGCAGTTTACTCTCAACCCTAAAATACGCCGCGCTGCGCCCTTACATTGTTTTTTGGCGTAAGTCAATCAGCTCTCAACTTTCATCACTCTTGAGTTTTAACGGGCTCGGTTCGGAAGGAAAGAGTCAATGAAAGAACCAGTCACATTAAAAAAAAAATTAAAAAAATAAAAAATAAATAAATAAATCGCTTGACAGATTGAGCTAGAGTATATTTGTGCTTTCTCCTTTCAAGAATGCGAAGCTAACGAAAAGAAACTTCGAATCTCGACAATGTTTTCAATCCATTTTTTAACTTCAGCTCTTGGAAAACTTTTGCCAAACCCGAGTAAATTTCAGAAGCATTACTTTGGGAATGGGTCATGTAAAGGAATTGCACTGATTGATCACGGCAAAAATACAAAATACGAATGACACAATTAATTGCGAGGTTTTATCAATTTTAAGGCACGTTCATAACTGCTTTTAAGTTCGTCCGACACGAAAAAAATTTTCTTCCGTATTTTGTACTTTTTTTTAGTGGAATATAATTTTAATTCCTCGTTAGGATCCATTTCCAAATTCCTGAGGCTTCCTTGAACCTCCCTTAATCACGCTGTAAACCAAATGGACGTATGACGTATTTCTACCAAACGAAACTATGTGCATTAAGATATGATCCCTGACATCCATAAGAATAGGGCTAACGTAGCAGGGCTCACGTCATAATGCACAAAGCTCCGTTTGGCAAAAACACGTCGAAATGACGGGCCTCCGAAGGAAAGGAACTGTTTCAGTGACGACGATATTAATACAATTCTAAAACCTCCGTCAAATATTTTCACTCTCTTAAAGAATATGACTTACTTAGTTCTTAAGTCGATAAACGCGTATCTCAAATTAAGACGTTATGAGCCTGCATTCATGTTATATTTTTTTAAAGGAAAACCGACGAGAAATTGTCTTTGAAATTCTTCACTCATTCCTAAAAACATCAAACAAAATGAACCTTTAGACAAGCCATGAATTAAAGCAAAACGGTACGTGTTTCCTCTTCAAAATTCCATGAGGAAGATGAATCACAACGAGCTCTCTGAAAATCAACTCCTAAGCAAGATTAGTGTTTTCTATTAGCATTGGTTAAATGGCAAAAATACGATCATTACGTCATTTGTATAATAGAACTTCCATTTGATCTGTGTTTAAAGACTGTTGGTATCTTGTTCAGGAGTTGATTTCAAAACTTCTCGTTGGGTAAATTTTTTCTAGGTAAGATTTTGAAACGAAAACATGTGACGTTTTCTTCTGCTTCAGAACTTTGTCCGTTGGCCAATTGCAAGAGAACATTTTCTCGTAGTCGTAGAATTCCTCGTAGAAAGTAAAACATAATCGGAGTTTTCAAACATTTAAATTGACATACGACTTGTCACATCATGCTATTGTATGTTAGTTCTTGAATTTTGTTTTGTTTTTGATCGTAGATGAGTTATCGATGGATCCTCGAGTTCGGCACAGTCCATGGTCACCAACCCCTCAGGGCGAGGTTAAAATGTCCAAAAATCAAATTTCGATCGTTCGACAAAGGCGAATCTTCGCTCTCATCGTCCATGTGGCAGCCGTTGTCGGCCTCTACCACTGCCTCGTGGGCAATGTTCGGCTATTCACACTCTTGTGGGGTGAGTGCATTTCTCATGACTGAAATATGCACGATATAGAATCGTATTTTGACTATCAAATCTCATAGATGAGTGAATTATTGTAAAATTAATTTGCAGATCACCAAGCTGCTACGTCCAATATTAACTAACGATGTGACAGATAGATCCGTTTTGATGAATAGCGTCTGAGCGGAAAATGAGACTCTCCTTGCTTTGGGGGGTATCCTCTCCGACCCCCCCCCCCCCCCGTGATATCAGCAAATTGATCCCCCTCCCTCCGACTCACTTTGGATCCGACACTGAACAAGTGGCACTGGCGCATACGTTGCTTCTGAATGGAGATGTTGCATGTGTGAGGAATTTGCGATTTGACCATAGATTCTTATGTAAAAGTTAGCGAGAGACACGATGGTGCCAATGGCTTTCTCTGAAATCAACTGCAAAGCTCAAAAAAGCTCTCGAAGTTGAGGCAAAATGGAGGGAATATCCCACGCTATCCTGAGAGTCCACCTCTACATAAAGACAAACACTCCGTGCAAAGATAGGGAGCAAATACATTGACAGAGTTGCCGTGTTTTCAGTTTTAGAGTCCCCAAATAAAGTGGCAGCCCTGTCAATGTATTTGCTCCCTATCTATGCATGAAGAGTTTGTCTTGATGTAGAGGTGGACTCTCAGGATAGCATGGGATATTCCATCCATTTTGGCCTCAACTTAAAGAGCTTTCCTTGAGCTTGGGAGTTGATTTCAGGGAAAAACAGTGGCACTATCGTGTTTCTCAAGAACTTTCACATAAGGATCGATAGTCCAATCGCAAATTCCTCACCCATGCAACATCTTCATTGAGCTGGAAATTGTAGTTTCTAATTGGATTGCATTTTGCAAAAAGGAACCACAAGCATTCCGATGTCGCTAAGATTGTGCAACCTTTTTTCACCTTGCAAATAGAAATTGATCATCTAAAAAAGTTGTATGTTTACTTCCTATGAAGTATGAATTCAAGACGAAAATCACCTTTGTAAATTGAATATTTTTCATGATTTCTGTAATTTTTTGCAAAGAATTTAAGTCGTTCAATCCTAGCAACATTGGATTGCTCTTGGTTCCTTTTTGCAAAATGCAATCCAATTATGGCCCTTATACCGAGGAACAGTTGAGTCTGTATGATGAATTGGACATATTTCTACCAAACAGACCTATAAGGCGGTGAGAAATATGGGGTGTGCTTGTTAGTTTCCTTTGCGTAAGAGTGAATGAGAATAATAAAGCGCCAGTGACGTCAACGGAGATGGAACCGCCTTCGTGCGGCTCCTCGTTGATCATTAACTCATGAGCCCTGTCCACAACGCTCTCGTCCCGTCCTCGCGGCTCATGACTGCCGCATTCAGTTGGCTCATAGGTCTGTTTGATAGAATGTAATATCCCGCTATTCCAATTCTTCAAAAGGAACCACGCCCACTTTTACATCGCTTCTTATACAGCTTCCAAGAGCATACTCCATATTTCTCACCTCCACTTAGGTTTGTTTGGTAGAAATACGTCCAATTGAGGGTTGGCATTTTGATTTCAGGGTTGGGTCTCGGGGTGGCCTCCTCGACAGCGGTGACGGCCGGGGCGCACCGTCTCTGGTCGCACCACTCCTTCAAGGCCACGTGGCAGCTCCGCGTGATCCTCATGCTCTTCCAGACGATGGCCCTCGAGTTCAGCATCCTCAACTGGGTGACCAACCACCGGGTCCACCACAAGTTCGTCGACACCGACGGCGACCCGCACAACTCCCGCCGCGGCTTCTTCTTCTCCCACATCGGCTGGCTCCTCATCGCCCCCCACCCGGACGTCCTCCGCAACCGCAAGCTCGTCCACACCGCCGACGTCCGCTCCGATTGGGTCGTCGACTTCCAGACCAGGTAACCCAGTCCTCAAAAAAAATTTCCAGAGGCGAATTTTCGCGAGCGAATATCATTCATCCAATGAATTGATAAATGGATTGCATTTTGCAAAAAGGAACCACTAGCATTGCAATGTTGCTAAGATTGGGCAACTTCTTTTGTCTTGGAGGAAAATCCGATTATCCATAAATATGGTTTCTATTTTACTCGCTAAAAACTGTAAATTTAAGACAAAAATACCATCTAAATTTCACAGTTTTTCACGATTTCCGCAATTTTATTGCAAAAGATGAAGTTGCACAATCTTAGCATCATTGCAATGCTAGTGGTTCCTTTTTGCAAAATGCAATCCAAATAATACCTACTCACTTAAAACCCACTTTTTCTTTTTCGCCCGATTTGAAATTTCGGTTGCCAACCTTCAACGAAAACACAATGGCCATTTCGGCTTTCACAGCCATCATCAGGTGCTTAAAAACGAAAAACGAACTAAAATAACAACGAAACGGAGGAGAAAACATGTTTAAACTTCCTGAAAACTGAAATGTTTTAACTTCCGTCTCATTCTTATTTTAGTTCGTTTTTCGATTTTTAATCACCTGATGATGGCTGTGAAAGCCGCAATGGCCGTTGTGTTTTAGTCAAAGGTTGACAACTGAAATTTCAAATCGGGCGAGAAAGAAAAAGTGAGTATTATCAGATACAACCCGATAAAGGAGGAAAAATAAACATAAACAGGATTAATAAATGCTGAGTGATGCCGATGATCGGTGAAAGCAGGAGCCCATCAGAGGCCAGATTTTTTTGTGAATGAAATTAAAGAGGAAAATAAAAAAAATACGAAACACTAAAACGCAGCATATTGCAAACACAGCAGACTTGAATTGATAAAACTTAACGACAGAAAGAAATGACGAAACAAAAAATCTGGTGCAAGATGATGTTTCTGACATCGATTGCATCAATTCAAAAATCGAATTCAAGTCCCGAGGTGAATCCGAAATTTCAAATTGATGGATTTCACCGATCTCCGGTGAGACCGACGAAGAATTCGAATATAATTTTTAAAAAAATGCACAATCGTCAAATATCATACAGTACTTTCAGAGGAAGCGATACTTTCAAGCTAATTCTTCATTACAGAAATGACTTGCTAAGATTATTATTCTAAAAGAGCTACAATTGAAGGGCTTGGGGGACAAGGCACATAAATTCAGTTTTTGCTACTTCGAGAAATATGTGTTTGAAGTTTCGAAATTAAATGGATCCTTATGGCGCAAAGAAAGTTCAGACCGACATTTGGATGCTTAAAAATTTGAATTTGGGAGCGAGTTTTCCACAGAATATGCAGTACGATTAGTTCTATTTGAAATCATAAAAATCTCAACTTCATCAAAAACTGCACTTACGGGACGTGCTTTGTCCTCCAAGCCCCTCATATCCTTTCTCTCTTAGTATACAGTATTTTTCATAGAACCAGTATCCACTCTTCGTCTAAAACATTTTACATTGCATAAGATGAGTGGTTACATACTTTATCAACTTTTCCATCAAAATTTGAATCACATTTCAGCATCATTGATTGAATCGCATCAAACGTGATTAACCCTTTTCCAGTAGTTCATTCCCGTTACTTGGGTGAAATTTTTGTTGCTGAACGCGATTTTCCACCGCATCAGCAGCTTTTAAAATGTCGCAGCGATCTGTTCTCCTTTAACGCCGTTTTGTCTGTTTCATTTTATTTAATAGATATTATGTGTACTTGAACCTCATCCTCTGTTACCTGATCCCCACTGTAATCCCCTGGTACTTTTGGGCTGAGGACTTTTGGGTGGCTCACTTCGTAGCCGGCCATCTTCGTCAAGTGCTGTTTCTGCACGGAACGTTTACCATCAACAGTCTCGCTCATTTGTGGGGATCGAAACCGTACGATAAGTAAGTAACAGCCTTGATATGTTAACAAACCAACCGCATTTTTTCTCTCTGCTACAATTTATTTTCTCTGTCTCTCAATTAACTTGATAAAGTTGATTTTGTCGGATTCTTGGTCTTAATAGAGAAAGAACAAAGTATGTCAATATACAATAACAGTTGGCACGACTCTATCAAGCTTAATATCGAACTTCCAGCAGCATTTCTGTTTTCAGATAAACTATTAACTACCGATTGAAGATTTCAGTTTGTGATGAACAAATCGATTGATTTCAATATCATCCTCTTTTCGAAAGAAAATTACAAGCGCCAATTGGATTACATTTTGCAATAAGAAACCACTATCTCTGGCTCTCCTATAAAAGCACATATCTGCATAGGGAAACCAATGACATGTATGTTGTTTCTAAAATGGGCCAGAAATAATGGTTCCTTATTGCAAAATGTAATCCAATTGTGCTTTTAGGCATTCTTGATCCCAAACTTCTCAGATTGTCCAATTTTTACGGAAGAACTAATGAAAAGAATCGCTTCAGAATCTTACAAAATTTTTCTTTTGTCATCAAAGTAATCCCTGAAATTAATATAAGGACGGTGGAAAATTTTTAAAGAACAAATTGTAATTCCTTATATCAATATGCGGTCCAAATGTCCCCTGTGATATTGGACAGTATGGATCGCATTCAGCAAAAAGGATCCAGCGCGATTAAAGTGTTGTAAAAATTTTGCTTCCTCATAACTATCAAAAAATTCTCTCAGAATTGCATATAGTTTTGGCTTCCCACCAAGAATTTGTTAATTTAAAAAAAAAAAAACTGTGTAAATTTTCACAGCGCACATATATATGTATTCAGTATTTTTAAAAGAAAATGAGAAGTCGCGCCATTTTGAAAACACTGTAATTGAGCTGGTTCCTTTTTGTTAAATGGATTTAATTTTGCAATAAGGAGCCACCATCTCTGACTCTCCCATAAAAGCACATACCTGCAGAGGGAAACCAATGGCATGTATGTTGTTTCTAAAATGGGTCAGAAATAGTGGCTCCTTATTCAAAATGTAATCCAAATGTGATCAATACACGGAGACAATGATGAAGTTAACACATTTTAATGCCGGCTGGCTAAGCTGCATAGAACATGGTAAAATGATTGAAAAAAAAATCGAGCTACAAGCCAAAAATAATTAAATTAAACAAATAATATTTCAAACTACACAGAGATGAGAAATAATAAAAAAACTTACAAGAAACAAAACAAACGTTTCGACCGCCCCTGGTAAAAATTGGCGATTGGAGACAAAACACATATTTGTATTTTCCTTTAATACATATTTTTTTTCATCAACTAAAATGAGGATAATCCATACAGGATGTGCAAACATTTTAAAATCATAGGTTGAAAAACGCTGACTCCGCGAGAATGTATATATTGGAGCCTAACACAGAGCGGAACGGTATGCTGCCAGAGTTAAGCGCGCACTAGCGCCTACAAACCCAACAGGGATACTTCACGCATTGCGCAATGCTTGAAGTATCGCTGTTAGGCTTGTAGGCGCTAATGCGCTTTTCGCTCTAGCTATACTCGCTTGCGCGCCGCAGCGTGCCACGGCGCTTGAAGCAACTATTTCACACCAGAGGTATTGCACAGTATCATACGAAATTGAAGGCGCTCTAACATATTAGGAATGGCTGGCATCCTTCAAAAGTACGCAGCTTTCCGCTCAAAATAAATCAAGATGCTACGGCCCAAAAATAGAGCGGGAGTCCAAAAACTCAATAAGTCCTAGCATCCGTTATTAGTAACATTCAGCATACACTTTATCGCCTGGCTGTTGCTTAATCGCCATCGGCCATAAAAGGCTATAAGAAATTGTGCATCCGGATATGGAAGCTATTGAAAATCTTACAGCCGGCTTTAGGTAAATGGTATTTTGGAACACAGATTCTACTGCCAATTTTTACCAGGGGCCAAGAAACTGCAGTCTTCTTCAGTGCAACAAGTGGAACAATTTTACCCAAGAAAAAACTTTAAAAATACATTAAAAAAACTACAAAACTCTTAGCAAACTAAGTAAAGCGAAAGTACAAGTCTATTGCAACTACATCTTGGAATAAAATCAAAACAAGGCAAAATTCATGAGGAAAGAAGAGTGATCGCAGTGATAAGAAGGGCGTAGGTTTGAAACATTATTTGTTTAATTTATTTTTGGCTTGTGGCTCGATTTTTTTTTTTCAATCATTTTACCATGCTCGATGAAGTAAACCTCGGATAGTGGAATCAAATCTCAAGGTCTGACCGGTTTTTTTCCGCCGGTTCGCAGGAACATCTGCCCGACGGAGAACATGCTCGTGTCGGTGGCATCGATGGGCGACGGGTGGCACAACTACCATCACGTCTTCCCGTGGGACTACAAGAACGCCGAGAAATGGGACTACCGGCTCAACTTCTCAGCAGCTCTGGTGGACGCATTCGCCAAGCTCGGCTGGGCCTACGACCTCAAGACGGTGCCGGAGCGTATGGTGGCCGAGCGGGTCCTCAAAACAGGAGACGGGAGCCACCCCCTCAGCCAGGCCGCCCACAGTCACCCCAACGGCGAGGACGCAGTCTACGGCTGGAACGATCTGGATATGCCCCAGGAGCACAGGGATATTGCTCTCATCACCCACAAGAAGCAACGATAGTACACCCATCCTCTCCGCATGCACTTTTTCAGGTACATATACTCCCGAACTAAGGGAAAACGCCGCATGAACCTTTAGGCGTTGCCAAATATCCTTTGATAAAACAAGAATTTCCTGATAAACATACGAATATTTTTCTTCCAATTTTTCATATAATTTTGTTCGCAATTTCACCTAAAGTTCCTGAAAATTTCAAAGAAAAATATTCATAACTTGCCTCAAAAATAGAAATTGTATCGAAGAAAATTTGGCAACTTCGGATGTTCATTCAGATGTTCGGCGTTCTTCCTTGGCACGGCAGTATGAACCACATTTTGCAATAAGGAACCACTATTTTCGGCTAATCAATAAAAGTGAGTATCTACGGAGAGAAACTAATGGCACATACGGTTTTTCTAAAACTTTAATCAGTAGTTCCTAATTGCAAAATTTGGTTCAATCGTCGTTCCGCGCAATGAAAGGACTTTTTGTGATAGGACGTAATGATCTAGCTTCCTTCAGACAAGTAAAATGAGACAGGAGATTTTTATGCATGCGTCGCAAAACCGATATCCCTGGTTCGGTTCTTTTACCATCAATATTTGTAGTAATTTCTGAATTTCTTCTTTCCTTTGCCTTTCATATTTTTCAATGAAAATGGGCTTCAAAAAGTCACAAAAAGAAAATTGTCTATGAGCTTCAAGGAAAACTCAATGAAACTACTATGAAAATAGGTTCTCAAAGGGATCATCAAGCCTTACCCCTTTTAAACATACAAAGGGAAAAATTAATCACTTTCAACATAATTTAAGGGGAAGTAAGGTATCACTAAGATGTAAAATTCTCATAATGCGGTTTTCACTGGCAAAATCCTCTGCACATGTTTGTTCCTTTAAACCCTCGAAGACCTACTTTGAAGATAAAATCAGGATTAAATCTTATCATAATTTAATTCGCACTGATGGTTACCTCCTTATTTATTTGATTTATGATATTATATTATTATGTATTTGTGTTATTTAATTTAACTAATGATATGTTTTATGTATGTGAGATCAAAGAATGTAAACAGAGTAACCGGCCGAGGCTATACGCACGGCTGGGATTTAAATAATAATGTATATAATTTTGTTCATAATTTTTTATTGTAAAATTATATTCGTGGCATATTCTTGCTAAGTTTGGAAAAAGAAAAACGAGATATTCTCTTTTCATCAATAAAAGTTTGTACAAAATGAAGTAATGAAACTCACCCACAATAGGTTTCTTTTCTTTGTTCCCATATTTAATTATATTATCACCTTTATAATAAGAGTAAGTATCTCAGTTTGCATCAAGGATGCAAAATGTGACTGCTATTTAAAGTTTGTTTCCAATGTCAATTGGATCCAAGCTAAATTTCAATTTTTTTTCGCGAGCGAAGAGTTTTAATTTATTGATTGTGCTGTAAACTATGGACTCTAATTTCTTACTCATGCGATGGTATATTTTGAGCTTTCTGAAAATTTGGAACGTATTCTGCTAAAAATTTTGATGGGAGAAAAATGTCTGGCAGTGTTTAAACTCATACTCTGTGCAGTGGATCATTATTTCCGTGCTGCTGCCTTGCGTCTCAACTGAGAGCTCTGTCTGTGTTGCGATGAAATGGTTACTTTTAGAGCATGTAGATAGCGCTTGAGGGTTCTTGGCAGTCCCTCGAGGTATATTAACGTCACACCCTTCCCGCCTGGCGATTGCGTCATAGTAGCTCTTTCGCGTAGGTACATTTTATCGTTCACAATGTCATACATTGCCTCACTTTCTTAATGTCTGGAAAAAATTCCTTAGGAAATCTTGATGCCTTTGCTCTTTTGTGTTCTCTGAGCAGAAAAGCCCTCAAGACATTCTGCGTTTATTTTGGAATACACTTTGTAGGACTAATAGGTACGAATAAGAATTTTGTAAAAAACAATTTCAATCTCATTTTATTTTCATATTTTTTCGGTGAATCATCTTCTGAAACCGTCGTCGAAGTCATGACTAGCACTTACAAAAGTTATTTCGATTTCTGTAGTTTGGCCTTTCAGCGGAAAAGGAGCCTGGTGATGAAATATTCAAAAGAGCGATTTTTATCGAGTCCGATTAAAAAATGTTGCATTTGAGTCTTCGACAAGAAAATAATCCTATCCCCTCAAAAGGGATTCCTTTAATTTTTTTGATGCAGACATAAAGATACATTTCAATAGAACATATTTTTAACACTCAGCTTTGCGGATTACATTGTGTTACTTATTTTCTTTCTAAAACTAACTTCGTTGGACTAGATAGTCCAATCATCAAAACGTCATTTGGCTAAGCATTGTTTTTTGAAATATTTTGCGTCAAAATTTCCATGCAATACCTCTCTATGCAAATAAATCACAGTCTCATTCTTGACTCAATCGCTTAGATCCGTTTTCTCTTTTGTTGTTTTGGATTGATATACGAATTATTGCACTAGAAAATCTCACCCACCCAAAAAATACTTATACATACGTTTGAAGAAGGCATGATTTAACTTAGTAAGCCAGAAGAAAATACTGATCCGGTTATTTGAAAATAGTTACAGAGAATAACATATCGACTGATAGAAAATAAAGAAAAATAATCGGAAAAAAGTTACGGCTTCAGCAGGTTTTTTTAAAGTCTTGAATTTTTGGATTCAAAAAGTCACATTATCATAGCGAGACCAGTATTATCGTGATAAGGAAAAACGTCATATGAACCTTTAGTAGGTGTCGGCAAATTTCCTTTGAAAATACACGAATTTCCTGGTAAACTTATGAATATTTTTTTACAATTTGTCAGAAATTTTTTTCGCGATTTCACCTAAAATCCCTGAAAATTCAAAGGAAAGATATTCATTATTTTCCTCAAAAATAAACATTTTATCAAAGGAAATTAGGCAACTCTCAAATGTTCATACCGCGTTTTTCCCTAGCACGGCAGAGTAGCTGATCATTGGTATCTTGCACGGGTCTTTTCCTCTGTGTCAAAGAAGACATACGAACGGTGTAAATATGTTCACGGCAAGTAAAGGGATCAAATGAACATGATCGTACGCGCGAGCGCCTTCAAATAATGCATAGCATTCCGACCGATAACTATTCGAACTCCGTGGTCGTGAGATTGCATACTCGCCATTTTGAAGGCGTTTTCTGCGTGTAGCTCGGAACACATTCATTTCATTCCTGGCCTGGTGCTTGGTTGCTTCGCACCTTCATGAGGCTAGATCGCACAACTGCTGAGACCCCAGTTTTGGAAAATATTAAATGTGCTTGTTCAGCAAAACTAAATTCGCAGAATTAAAGGGGAGTTCACAAAATTAAATTTCGACTGACATAACAATCCAACTGTATTAACTGATTTTCAACAAGCGCTTAAAGAAGCATGGGTTCTATTGATTTAACTTAACATTGTCTTGAAACGAAGCAAAATTGAGTTCACCCAAAACCAATTCTACTTTAATCAACTCATTATTGTTATGTTAGACAAGTTTTCATTCCTTGTCTTGATTCTTAAATCGCACGTAGATTATTGGGGCATCGTAATAGCCATGCGTCGCTTAGAAACATATTTTACTAATAGCAACTTGGGTGGCAATACCTATACCAATACTAAAATACTATGGTTAACTGTAGTACTTATAGTGCTACTACTAAATACTATAGTTCTTGCTCATCTTCATTTCGCGCTGTTTACAGAAACACGACTACTTAGAACCATAAAATGAATCCAACAAAACTTTCAAGAGAGTTGTTGCAACCGTTCCGTCATAAAAATGTAAACTGGACGCATTTAATTCAAAAGGAGCTATATTCATTTTGACAAGCGCCCTGAGATCTATGAGAAAACATTCATGACAGGGCTCATGTCACAATGGAACAACATAAAACGGGACTAAGGCCGCAAATAATAAAAATAAACACATAAAATAAACATTTGATTTTTTGTGTTTATCTTTAATATTTGCGGCCTTAGTCCCATTTTAAGTTGTTTCTTTATTAGTGTTTCAAGCCGATTAAGTTGTTTTCTCAGTCACAATGGATATAATTCCTTTTGATTTAAATACGTCCACGTGTCGATGGCGATCCTCTCAAATTGGCAACGGTGATTTTCCTCCGTATGAATCTTTCATAAACATAATCGATCCTAGATGAATTACATTTCCGGCTCATTTTAGATCTATCGTAACTGCCAGTAATTTATATTAGAGATAGGCGTTTTTATGGCCGAGTCAGAAATAGTAGCTCCTTATTGCAAAATGTATTCCAATTGAGAGTCTCCCTTCCTTTTAAAACGTAGAATTCGACCCTTCCCCTCCGTTCACGCGTGTATATCCATCGCAACATCTTCCCGCGCCGAACTCTTCGATTACCGCGGCGCGGCGTAGTGTTGACTCGGGGAGGGGGGAGGGGGAGGAAAAAAGTCGGGAAATTAGTGCGGCGTATCGCTGGTCCCCCCTGCCCCCGCTCAAACATGACAATGCGGTGAACAGGTTGATAAGAGGCAACAACAATTATTAATCGCAGGCGGAAAACAGGTGCGAGCAGTGTCCGCATAGCGCGCTGGCTCGGGGTGAGGGGGTGGGGTGGGAGTGGAGGGTAGGCGAAGGGGGGAGCTCCGGGAGAATGGATACGGGCCCCGACGGGCATGGGCACTGCCATGGGCTTGCTCCATTTTCTCCCACGTAAAGGCGGCGGGCCTGCGCGGGCGAGGCGTCTCCATTCAGTGACGTTCCGCGCTGATCAATAGTCTCGACTGACGTCATTCCCGTGCCGGGCTCCGATTTGTCAAAATTCGAGCCCTCAGTCTCGCCATGAATGGGTCTCGCACACAACTCTACGCCGCTGCCGCCCGCTTCCGTGGAGCCAGGAGCCTGTGAGAGGATTCCCGCGATTGTGACTCGGTCCCGTGCTTGATCAGTGCGCGTTTCTTCGGGTCCCGGTGGCGAAGATGTGCGAGGATGGGGTGGGTGACGGCGGGCTCGCCCCCCTGGCGACGCGGCGGGCGTGAGTCCGTCGTCGGCCGCGAGTCCGGCCCGATGCGAGTGAGCCCGCAAAATGGTGGCCACGGACATTTCGCATCGCGATGAGCTCGACACGTTGCTGATCGTCCCCGACACCCGGCAGCATGTCCGAGTCGCCCCCGAGGTCGGGCTCCGTCGTTCCCTACTCGCTGAACTATTGCGTGTCCGTCAGAGCGTCCGTCTTGTGTCGCCTCGGTGAACTCCGTCGCGTCGTCCTCTTAGCGCTCCGCTTCGAGTTCGTCCAGTGTCTCCCCTCTGCCCTGTGCGCCCCGTGTGTCTCGATCTTTGCCCTGGCCCCGGCCCCGGCCCCGGCGAGAGTGACGATGGCCACCGACATGCCGGACCTTTCCCACTTGACCCCCGAGGAACGGGAGATCATCCAGTCGGTCATGATGCGACAGAAACAGGAGGAGGAGCGAGAGAACGAAATCATGAGGTACGTCACACCATCCACTTACAACTCCTCCTCGTATCCAGCTGGAGACTGATACAGCTTCTCGCAGATCCTGGCATATCTCCCTCGAGGAGATCCAACATTCCCTTATGGTGACACTGAAAAGAAAGTTACTGGCTATATAGACATGTCGCCCGTTCCGGGCTCATAGGCCGAAAGTTCCGGGTGCTGGAGCCGTAGCCTCGATTGCTCTGGAACGCGGAAGGTATGTCTATCTAGCTCGTAAGGACGGCTTCCACGGCCCGAGTCTTTTTTTCAGTGCAGCAGTCTGCCCTACTGATGGTTGTTGAGTACCTTGTCGTTCGCTGCTGGACTTCTGGGGAGTAGTTTATCTACCAGGCATAAGTTTGTCTGTCAAATGAGTTGCTCGGCACGTCAACACGTGATGCTCAGTAGCCACCAAAGAGGTGATTTCAGGGGATGGAAGATGGAGCCCTGAGGGTAGAGGTTTTCTTCTGTCACCGAGAGGCCATCGGAGAGTCTCTACTTGTCTCAGATATGGATCTAGAGAGACATACAGAAGTTCTCCGAAACTGTACGGACTCTCACTGAGGGAGGTACAACATTTCCTTATTGTCAGTAACCTGCCTCTTGTTGGCTATTGAATACCTTTTTGTTGGCTGTTGAACTGCGGGGAAGCAGTGTGACCAACAGGTTTAACAAGCATCGGGTTGTTGTCCAAATGAAGTGCTGAACACGTGATATTCAGCAACCGCCAAGAGGGTACTTCCAAGGGTCCAGAGGTAGAGTCTTGAAAGTGAAAACTCGCCTTTCGCCAAGAGGCAACTGGGGAATCTTCGTTTGTCTATCTTATGGAGCTAGAGACAATTAGAGAACCTTCCTTGGTATCCTGGCAATGGTATTGGAAACTTTCACCTAAAGGGACTCTGCATTTCCTTGTGGTCAGCAACCTACCCTCTCGTCGGCTGTTGAAGACCTTCTTTTTGGCTGCACTGAAAAAACATTTACGGGCCACATAGACATACCGTCCGTTCTAGGCTCAGAGGCCGAAAGTTCCGGGTGCTAGAGTCGTACACGGAGAAAAAAACTTCGTGCAGGGGACCTGAAGTTGAGTTCATATGGATCTCTGAAGTTTTCGGATCACGCATCCGAAAACTTGAGGTCCAGCTGCCGAAGTTCGAGTCACACATCTGAATAACTCGGGTACATACAAAAGCACTTCAGGTGTCTGACCCGAACTTGAGCAGCTGGACTTCAAGTTTTCGGGTGCATAATCCGAAAACTTCAGAGATCCATGTGATCTCAACTTCGGGTCTCACGCACGAAGTTTTTTTCTCCGTGTAGCTTCGATTTTTCCGGGTGGGACGCTCGGAACTTTCCGCCTCTGAGCCCGGAACGCGGACGGTATGTCTCTATGGATTACATTTAGCAATAAGGAACCAATATTTCTGGCTCATTTTAGAAACAGCATATATGCCATTGGTTTCACTATGCGGATATGTGCTTGAATGGAAGAGCCAGAGATAGTAGGCCCTTATTGCAAAATGTAATCCGTATAGCCCGTAAGTACGGCTTCAACGGCCGGAGTTTGTTTTCTGGGAGGAAGCGCACATACAACAAGTTTACCAAACATCGGGTTGTTTGTCAAATGGACTTCATTTTGCAATGAGGAACTACAAATTCTGGCTCATCCATAAAAACACTTATGTGCGTAGAGAAACTGAGGGCATATACGTTGTTTTTAGACTGAGCCGGAAATTTTCGCTCTTATATGGAAAATGCATAAAATAAAGAGCGTGACCTGCAATATTCAGTAACCAACAAGGGAATTCAAGGATTGAATTGAGAGGTAGAGCCCCAAAATTAGAAGTTTCTTCCTATCACCAGTAGAGGGTCTCCAGTTGTGACTTATGGATCTCGAGACAAATAGGGACCCGCCTTTGGTATCATAGCAATAAAGGAAACTTTCACTCGAGGGGATCCGACACATCCTTTGTCATTACCACCGTGCTTAGGGAGGAGAAGAAGGCCGTATGAGCCATCAGGCGTTGCCAAATTTTCATTGATAAAACACCATTTCCTGGTGATTTTATGAATATTTTCCTTCCAATTTTTCCGGTAATTTTGTTCGCAATTCCACCTAAAGATTCTGAAAATTTAAAGGAAAAATATTTATAACTTTCCTCAAAAATAAACAATTTATCGAAGAAAATTTGGCAACTCTCGAATGTTCATACGGCGTTCTTCCTTAGCACGGCATATTAGCGATCATTCTCTCTTTGACTGTCGAGCAACGTAGTCACTCTTTTTTTGGTGGAGTATACGAGGTCCATCGAGAATGCCAAACATCGGCTTGTTTGACAAATGAATTGGTCAACACGTAACATTCATCGACCAACTTGGAGGTTATTTCAAGGGTTGAGAAATTAAATCCAAGAGTAATAGTTTTCACCTATTGCCAAAGGCCGACTAAAAGGTCGATTTTTCTCTAAATATAGCTAGAAATACTGTCGTGCTAAGGGAAAACGCCGTTTGAACATTCGAGAGTTGCCAAATTTCCTCTAATGAAATGCTCATTACTAAGGAGAAATAAAACAAACCAGGACGTTTCGAGCCAATTACATGCCCATTCTCACCTGGAAAAAAAGGCTAAAAAATGCTGAGAATGGGCATGTAATTGGCCCGAAACGTCCTGGTTTGTTTCATTTCTCCTTAGCCTTGTATACCCATTTGTTTTTGTATTTTAATGTGTTTTTAATGTGTTGTGCATTCGGGCCATTGTGTCTCATCTCTCTCTCATTACTGAGGAGAGCTATGAGTGCTTTCTCTTGAAATCTTCAGATAGTTTAGATTTGATTACGAAGAAAATTCTTTGAAAAATTGCATCGAAAATATTCTCGAGTTTTCCTGAAAATTGGAATTTAATCAAAGGAAATGTGGCAACTGACAAAGGTTCATACGGCGTTTTTCCTTAGCACGGTAGAATAGACACTCGGCTTGAATCTGGCACCGGTGGGAACTTTCATTCAGCAGGATTCAACATTTCCCATGGTCAACGACCTACTCTCGTGTCAGCTGTCGAGTGCCTTCTTGTTGGCTGTTGAGCACCTTCTCGTTGCCTGTTTAACTGCAGGAGAGCAATGTGCCCAACAGGTGTACTAAACATCAGTTTCTTCGCCGAATGACTTGCTAAACACGTATTTTTTATCAACTAACAATGATGTTTTAAGGGCTTTAATTTCAATGGCTGAATTGTAGAGCCCCAAAAATTGAAGCCTTCATATCATTGCGTATGCAACGCGTCCAACTACCGAGCACGAATAATTGCATCTGCCGCCTCACTCAGATTATTTCTAGAGAATTGTTACGCCTTGCGATGTAAAATAAGAGCTATAGTGTTCGCTGGTAATCAGATTGAAAAATTTAAAGGGTCAAGAACAACCCACTCAGAAAAATGAGACGACTACTTCAGTAGATCTAGCAGAATAATGGTCATGAGATTATATATTTTGACGTGACCTACCTCGGGTTTTCCTGCAAAAAAGTTTGATCTCATATAGACTAGAAGCTTCGCTAAAATATAACCAGATCTTCTAAATCTGCAGAATTCCTTCCTATTGGAGGTCTGAGGTCGACAACCACCGAGAACAGCTACAGGTGAAAAATAGTATGAGAGCCACGTTCAAGTTGTTTAGGAGATAAATGGATTCAAAAGCCGACGTGTGTATGAGAAAGAAAGCATATTTGTCTCTGATTGCAACGCTGTGTACCAATTATTATGTTTTATTTTTGTACACCGTTTTTAAAAAGCTGCACTCAGTTTTTCCCACGAATTTTTCTATATGATTCCATATGGAAGCATCGAAAATTTCGACGCGATATTTTCGTTCACTCGATTTTTTTTTTTTTTTTTCATGTAACGAAATGAACGATGACGCGTAATCTTAGTTTAACCAGTGGCTTTAGTGTCGCGCGAGCCAGAGAAGGGAACACAGTGGAGTCATCTTTGCAGCGTGACGCGCCTTCCATCCGGCTAGCGGCAATGTGCCTACACCCATGGTCGAATAGTTATCTCGTTACGCCTGCCGTGAATGAAATCAAATATCGACGCCTGCACGGGGAAAAAAGTGTTCTTATCTCCGATTGTAACGTTGCAACTCTCTACTCATGTTTTATTTTTAATCATTTTTTTTATATAAATAAATCTACACACAGTTTTTTTTTTGTTTTTTTTTGTTTTTTTTTTTTTAAGAAGTTTCCGAGGAATTTTCGGAATGATTTGAAATTAAATGACAAAAAATTCGCGATATTTTCGTTCGTTCTTTTTTCTTTTTATTTAACAAAAATTAATTTTACGCGAATCAAGTTTCAGAATCGCTGCATCGTTTAAACATCGTCCGAATTGCTGAGTCGTTGCAATTAAAATACTTATTTACTCTTTAATTGCGGTAAAAACCGGACAGGGACCGTCAAAAGAAGTGACGCGTGGTCCTAGTTTTGCGGCGATTTTAGCTTGGCGCAAGCTAGGGAAGGGAGCGCGGTCTTCAATCCAGTTAGCGACAATGTGCCTATACCCGTAGTCGAATAATTATCGCAAATAACTCGCATTGTGTTTGGTGCAATGCGAGAAGTATTCATGCTGTTTTGCAGGCGCTTATATGGGTTTGACGCCGACCGCACTATTTGGCGGAATGCGTGAAGTATGCATACAGTCTTGCAGGCGCTGATATGAGTTTGACACCAACCGCACCGTGATTGGCGCGATCATTCGAACTCGCGTTAGGAGAATCGCGGCATCGACTAATGGTGCTTAAAAGGCCCACGTCATGTTTCGACACAGTATGTGCAGTCCAACGTTGCCTCGTTTCTCCCAATAAAAAAAATTTTCTGAGAAAAGTCTTCTATGGTCGCTTTTTTTAAATTGACAATGAGTGAAAAATTAACCAAGTTACGAATTCAAGCATTCTGACACATGATTCTTCACCAAAATTTTACTCGAAATTTCTTGCAACCTTGGAATGG